AAGTGGGGTCCGGCCTGGAACGCAGGACACCCTGACTGTAGTTTGGACTTTTGTTTGACTCCATGGTTTATCATTATATCCTACAGTACAAACATCTACTCTAACTATAACCTAATTCTAATTGTGCTTCCTCTATGTTGAAGGAGTCACTGGGGTCTACTGTGAGGAGCACAGCTACGGCTTTGAGGACTTGTCCTTCATGGAGTTTCCTCCACTAGACCGCAGGACTAATTTAATTTCTCTAGAGTTCGCGACAGTGCAGAGTAACTCGTTGCTTCTCTACAACTCCGGAGGATCATCCAGTGGGGAATTCTTTGCGTTGGAGTTACTGGAGGGTTCTATAAGTCTCTCTTATGACCTGGGTTCAGGCCCTGTGAAACTGAAGACAAAAAAGCCTGTGTCTGACGGACAATTCCACAGCGTCACTGTCAGGAGAGTTGGAAATGTATGTACGTTTTTAATGTGACTGCACTGTGATAGATATGCAGCTGATTCAAGATCTGTGTTGCTTTGAACAGATGGGCTCAGTACACGTGGACAACTGCACCGATGTTGAAGAAAATGGGTTTTGTTTCCTGCAGAGTGATGGCAGGGCTTTAGAAAGGTAGCCCAGAAACATTTTTCCATTTTCTGTCTTAACTTTTCTTTTTTTTTTTTACATTAATTATGTGCATCTTTATCTGTCAGGACTCTAGACGTTGGTAACAATAATCTGACACTAGGAGGAATGAGGGATTTTGTCTATTCTTTGCTGCGTCCTGCTCATATAAAGACCCACGACTTTGTTGGATGCATTCGAAACATTTATGTCAATGGGATCCAGCTCATGCCCTCAACGGCCCGGGCAACGTATAACATTCTTAAAAGGTGTGTCTCTAAAATATATGTAATTGGAGACACGTACTCAGTATGTCTACGAAGGTCTAAGCAATGTGGGTTTTTTTTTTACGTTTAAGGTGTCCACGAGGAGAGGAGTATCCGTGCCACAGTAACCCATGTAAAAATGGCGGCGTGTGCCATGACCTCTGGTCTCACTATATCTGTGAGTGTCAGGGTCCTTTTATTGGAAGCACCTGTACCACAGGTAAAGTTAATTAATTATTTGTTTACTATCTATGGAGTGTTTCAGAATTCAAATCCAAATAAGGAAACTAGTTGTTTGCAAGGAATTGGAACAAATTAATCTTAAATAGGTTTGAATATTTGGTTTTAGAATAAATACAGAAAAAAACAATAAAAAATGAATTTAAAATAATAGGGAAATTAAGAGCGGACAGGTCAGCTGATGAAAATAGCCACGTGTTTGTCCCAGGATTGTTTTATGTTGAATAAACGTCTGCACAGAGATCATGTCTGAACAGCTACAACTGTTTGTTTACATTGGTGTCAAACATGAAGACATCATTCTGTCTCCAAACTGTGCAGAGTTGTCGGAGCAAGTTGTTCTGCGGTTCAGTGGAAATGACTACATAGAGTATGTTGTCAAGGAGACGTTCCAAAGAGACCAGCTGCTGAAAGACCTTCGCCAACACCAAGCAGAGGAAAACCAGTTCTTTTTCAATATCAGGTTCAGGACCAAAGACAATGGAGTATTATTGTTTGTAAGTGGACAGACGGGATCTGTTACATTAAAGGTGGGTGTGAAACCTAATTCAGTAAATATCGCAGTATTCTCCATGTCTAATTGAACTGTTCACTTCCCCTCAGATCACAGACAGGAGGCCTGTGTACCTCTTCAAGGACAGGGTTTCAGGACAACTGTCTGAGTGGACTCTGGACTCTGCGGTGGCTGATGGGGACTGGCATGTTCTGTCATTCTTTAGCAGTGGAGAAATCATGACTCTGTCCTTAAGTGGAGAAACGGTCTTGAACATCACAGACAGACGTATGGATCTCTCGCCTGCTCATGTGGAAAAGTTCATTCTTGGAGCAGCGATCGCTGAAGATTCAGTCGTCCAGCAGCCAGGTGAGATTCAAATCACTCTTGTCATGCACAATAATAATTAGGGTTGTTCGATAATACTGGCTGACCAATATTGTCGGCCCGATGTTAGCATATTATGTAATATCTTTAACAATCATTATCGGTTTCTCCTCCGATTATTTAAAACCCGATGACGCCATGCCTGGGTTTCCCCAAAATCCTCAAAAAATAGTTTTGAGGATAAACGGCTGTATATTAAAGTGAAAGTCACTAGATGGCAGCATTGCAGCTCATTTAGTTAATCTCATACTCATAAAGTGGTTTGTACAGATAAATAAATAAATATTACCAGTCTATATATACCTATATCAGTATCAGTTGATATCGGAATCTGAAGTTTTTGGACAATACTAGCATATTGGATATATATAAAATATTTGTGTATTTTTTAAAACCTTAGTTAGAACATTTACTTTAGCGAATTTTAAATGTATTCCTGTTAATAAAATGCTTCCATTTTCTTACAGGATTTACTGGATGTGTCCAGTATTTTGTTGTGAGTGGTCACACACTGCCCTTCAGTGGACACAGTGTGATGGTGGACGTCCACCCCAGCAGCTCTCTTACACAGCCCAGCTGTGTCTCTCCAGCTCTCTGTCTCTCACAGCCCTGTCCTGAAGTGGACACTCCCACTGGGGGGTGTCTCTCTGAACAATGCTTCAACCAGTGGAGTTGTGGACATATGACAATGAACGTGTCCTGCGTCTGTCTGCAGAATGTCTCTGACCATGCTTGTGATATATGCACAACAGAAAGCAGTGAGCGGTGTTCTGGAGCTCAGGGCGATGTTCCTCTGTGGCTCACTGCTGTCATTCTCCCTCTGATCACTTCCTCCGTTATCGTTGGGATGTTTGTGGTGATTTCTCGACTCAGACGGCGGAGTGAGACTTCAGAGTGTTTGAGTTTGCCCCAGAAGTCAGAGCAGGGAGCAGACAACACTGCTTTCTGTTGTGACGACGGCCGACCTCTCACTGATGCTGCGTCTGTGGGAAAGGAGCGATGTCGTGAACCGGTGTGTCCTTACCTGCAGAAGTCAAGCGTGCACCTGTACTGTGAGGCCAGTGCTTCCGGTGCTCAGCCAGAGCTGAGGAGTGAGCTGGAGTACTATGAAGTTGGCAGCATTTGTAGTGAACTTCATTCGGATAGTGCCTCGCTCAAACATCCACACAGGACCAAGCAGATGAAAGGTGACGTCAGGCAGTGGAGAGATTTGATGACGCTGTTGGCAGAACCATCCATCGAAACAAGTGCAACTTGTCAAAAAAACCGTCTGATCAGAGCCGCTGCGAACCAGCAACCATCGAAGACATTTCCTCAACCGGAGTTCTCAAAACCTGTCCCATGCCTCACGCTTGAAGAAATCACCAAACTAAATGCTCCTTTGTCCAGTTCAGCCTCACCCAGATCTGGTCCTGACCGGTCCAACACAGTGACCAAAGTCTCACCTGACTGTGAAAGTGACAGCACGTTGACCTGCTCTGAGTCTGAGTTCGGGCGGGGGTCTGCTGTCAGGAGCAGGGTCCTCAGATATAATCAGCATCCGGAAGATTCCTCTGATTTGTTTGAACAGTGGGGACATGTTTTAAATACAGCCCTGCCTTTCTGCAGCTACGTCCCTGTGTTTGAGGACGTGGCTCGTCTACCGGTCCAACCGGATGACTGCCACGACCTGCAGAGTGACATAGAGGAAATGATCTAGGTTCACCCTGGACAGTTCACCAGAGCAAAACAACAACACTCTGTGGTCTCACACACACATACACACACAGGGGTAAATGTATAAAGTACATACAGGAAGACAGGAGATCAATCCAGTAATTGTTGATCTTTCTGCTTAAGTTCAGAGACATTTTCTTTGAGTGGCTGAATGATTTTAATTCAACTTTAACTCATTTAATTCCACATTATATCCATAAGAAAAAATAATAAGAATAATATGATACTCAGTGCCAATGTTCAGTCGAGGAATATGTTATTTTAGGATGTAAGGTGTTTTTGCGTATTTCAAAACTTAAAAAGTTGAAAGTTGGTCTAAAATATTACGACTTAAACTCTTTAGAAGGCATTTTTTGTCTTTTGCAAACAGCATTTTTGCAAATTTTGATTTAAATATGCAGTTGATCTATTGTAGTTTCGAGGCCTTTTTTAAACATAAACCAATGCTTTGGCTCCCTCTAGCGAAGAGGCTCCAGTCTCTCAGCAACGAGGTATCCACTCGAATCAAAGCATGTTTATTTATTTATAATAATGCTTTTCCTGTGTTAATTGTTTTATAAACTATTTCAACATATTGAAATGACTACATACCGTTATTGTTAACAAAAGTTTTTTGTGAGAATCTTTGGACTAAAAACAAGAAATTATTTCAAATGAAAGTACTACGTTTTGATTCTCATGTATAGAAATAGAGACGAGAATTTGACACACAAAAAAATTACTGATTCACTCGTATATACAGTATGTAGTCTGAATAATATGAACTCCAGCCTTCAAAGAACAAGTGGTAGAATAATTAGTTTGCTCAGAGATTTCATTTATTTTCCAAGATCAATGCATTCATTATTATAGATAGTACCAAGTGTTGTTAAATTTAAAAAATAAATTTAGTTACGAATACGAACAATTAATTTTACCATATCACAGTAGTACACATCTGATGAAGTATAATTACTCTATCATGTGGTTTGTACTTCCTATCAGACAATCGAGAACTGACGGGGAAAAAAAATTCTGCAGTTTTCCAAGATAATTCATTTTGTCGGACATAAAATAAACATTTTATTTTGCACACTGAATCAGGCAGAATGCTATTACACAAGAACTTTTGACTGTATATCTCAGTGACATCTGGGCATTTTTAAAAATGACTTAAAACACACGTCCTTTAGAATAAGTGCTCAATTGTGCTCCGAAAAAATGTGTTCCCGAAAAAAAAAACATTATAATGTTAGATGTTAGTTTATTCATCAAAATATATATCGCACTAAAACAGTATAAAAATAAAAACAGGGCATCACTTAAACATGTTTTATGTGGAGAAAAAAAAACATATCATTGCACAGTAACAACATATAAAGTTACTTGACATTGTGCTTGTCGTGCAGTCTGTGTGTCGCGGCTATTTTTCTTTTGAGAAACAACTGCCCCAACGCGTTTTTAATGTCTTTGGTCTTGAGGCAGTAGATGAGGGGGTTGACGGCGGGAGGAATCAGGCTGTACATCATGGTGATGATGATGCGGAGGTCAGCGCTTAACCTGAGCCCCAGGCTGTGAACGAGATAAACGTAACATCTGGGCACGTAGTAAAGACACGTGACAAAAATCTGAGGGGCGCAGGTGGACATGACTTTGTGGCCGCCCTCGGTGTGAGACATCTTCAACACAGCGACGATGATGGAGAAGTAGGAAATGATGATGAACGTCAGTGGAAATAACAGTGTGAACATTGCGGTGCCCAACGAAACCAGTTTGACGTACGACACGTTGTCCCCACACCCCAGCTGAGTGATGGATATGTGATCGCAGTAACAGTGCGCGATGGTGTTCTGGTCACAGTACGGCAAGCTGAGGGCGTGGAGCGCGATGCCAACCATGCGGATGAACGTAACGACAACGGTCAGGATGCAAGCAATGCTGACTGTTTTGTTGGTGACCCAGAGAGAATATCTGAAGGGCAGCAAAATAGCCACGAAACGGTCCAAGGCCATGATGAGTAAAATCAAGGAGTGAATGGCCCCCAGGGAGTGGACAAAGTACATCTGTGTAAAGCAGAGTCCGAATAACGAGGTGGTGTCGTTCCACCAGTATCTGCTGATGATTTTGGGCAGAGTCACCAGGCCAAAGGAGAGGTCTGTCATGGCCAGGTAGCAGAAGATGACGTAGGTCGGTTTGCGCAGAGTCCTGTGAGACATGATGATAACTAAGATGAAGGTGTTTCCAAACACTATGGACAGGAAAACCAGCAGGAGGAGGAAAGACACTATGCCATAATACTCAGCTGCAAGTCCAGGGAATCCGACGATAACAAAGTCTTTTATATTTGTAGTGTTGTTGAATTTCATCATTGTTAAAAAAAAGAGACACAAAAGTTAAGAATAAGCATTAAAATTAATAACACCACAAATAAAGAGCATTTTTTACATAATAACCAGCTAAAGGTACTTTATATCACCCACTGGTCATACAGACCTGCAGTAACACTATAGGATACTCCTCAAACAAAGTACTCTAGTGTGTACTGTCGTCTGCCTCCGACCATAACTGTAACATCAGACTGAGCTTTTATGACTGGACTTTATTCCCACAGGAACTTCCTGTCACTGAGTCACCATGACATCAATAACACACAACCTCAATACATGGGTTTTATGAAGAGCATATTCAACTAAAAAAAAAGTATTATTATTATTACCATTGTTTATTTATTTATTATTTAAAAAGTAATTTTGAAAATTAATTCTGTTATATGATATATAACATATATTGTGATATATATAATATATAGTGGTATATTGAAAAGGAATAGCAGTGCAATTTCATTCAGTTTTTAGACAGACCAGGGTTCTTGTGTGGATTGTGATTGTGAGCAAAATTTTTATTCAAAAAAATTAACAAATTATTCGTCAAGGAGAAGTTTACACACTTGATTATCTAAAAAAAAAGAGGCCGGACTCACTTCTCTGTGTGTGTTTGTCCTACAGCACACACACACAGAAGTGAGTCGGGTCTAGACTGAAATGTGAGATGGCTTCAAACAAAATGCACGTCACAAAAAAAGTATAAAAACCATGAAGGCAAATTAATTCATAATTATTCAAATTGATGATTAATTCAGTCCAAAATCACCTCTCCATTAGATTTTACTGGTCTAAGATTAGAATAGTATTTCATTATATCTGAGAACTTCACAATCCAATCACTGATTCTGGATTTTTTTATTTATGTTTTTTTACTACACACGAGGAGGCAGTGAATTCATGCGATTCTTGTGACATTACATTTCCTGAGATGGAACCTCTTTCTCAGACTGTCCTTGATGTCCTTTGTTTTAAAGCAGTAGATGATGGGGTTGACAGCAGCAGGCAGTAAACTGTACAACATCACCACTGCAACACGCACTGAAGTACTAAAATGAAACCCAATATTATTGGCCAAGTACACAAAACATCTGGGTATGTAGAAGAGAGAAGTGATGAGGATCTGAGGCGTGCAGGTGGACAGAGTCCTGCTCCGACCACCGGGGCTCGACGAACGCATCACGACGATAATCACAGCGAAGAAGGTGAAGATGATGAAGCCCAGAGGCACCAGCAGACAGAACAAGGCGAGACCGAATGCTACGACTTGAACTTCGTAGACGTTCTCACAGCCCAGTCTTGTTATGGCTATGTGGTCACAGTAGCACTGCACGATGACGTTGGAATTACAGTAAGGCAACATGAGCGCATAAACAACCAAGCCCACCATCCACATTGAAGGGATGAGCCAGGATATCCCACAGAGCACAGAAACTGTGGCGTTGGTGAAGATCACCGTGTAACGCAGCGGAGCACAAATGGCGATGAAACGGTCCAGAGCCATCACCATCAGAATGAAGGAGTGAGTGGCTCCTAGGAAATGGACAAAATACATTTGTGCAAAACAGCCATAAAATGAAACAATGCTGTCATTGAACCAGTATTTGGATATGATCTTGGGCAGAGTCACGGTCCCGAAAGCTAAGTCGGTCAAGGCCAGATGGCAGAAGATCATGTACGTGGGTTTCTGGAGAGACTTCTCACATTGAACAAAGACCAAAATGAAAATGTTTCCTGTAATGATGGACAAAAAGAGGATGAAGAGCAGAGCTGAAACCAGGCCGTGGAAGTCTGGTGAAAGTCCAGGAAATCCCACAAGAAAGAAATCCTTAATGGTCGTGATGTTAGTCTGTAACATGTTCTGTTATAATGTGTTCAAACAAGTCACATTGGAGGCAGTGAAACAAACAGTAGATGATGATCAGAAACAACAACTGAACCCAAACCAACAGCCTCGTCTCTGACAGGGTTCTGCTCCTATTATCACTGTGTTCCACCTCACCTTATCTGACCCACATGACACTACTCCAAAGACAAACAGGTCCCTCCCACAGGGGAGCCATCCCAAAAGAGTTATACCATGACACGGTCACTCTTCTTTAACTCATTCTAAACAAAGTTGTGTCAAAACAACAACAGTTGTGCAACATTATAGTGTTATTGGTGCAATTGAAGTCTTAAAAAAGTTTATTTTATTTTTTATTGTCCACTAATAAAATCACAGGGTTAGATGTCAACGTAGTTTTAAGACAAAGCCAAATATTTTTCTTCTATAATCAGCGTTAAGTGCTAGAATCTGCCCTGCATCATGGTTGATGTGTAGTATATACTGTATGTTCAACTTGAGGTCCGTGGACCAAATGTGGCCGACCACATCATTTTGTGTGCTCCACCGGAGCTAATTTTGCATACATACAGTGGTTGTTTATCTTAAAGAGTCTGATTGTTTTTGTTGTTGTTGTTTTTGTTTTTTTTGTAGAGGCAAATACAGTTTCATACTGAAAGAGTCTGATTGTTTTTGTTGTTGTTTTTTTTATTTTATTTAATGTTTTTTTGTAAAGACAAATACAGTTTCATACTCTTTGAACACATGGACAGAATGATGTGAAACGTATATCCAATGCTCCTGTTGTTCATCCACGTCCAGTTGCTCGATACGCACTTCATTATTTGGCGAAACCTCAGGCCTAAAATGTCATCTCAGCTAACAACATGGTTTCGTGGCGGCCTAAAGTTTTGGTCAATATTGGGTCAATACCAATCTTGAGGTCCAGACTGGGCCAAAACCTAGTTTCAATGTTAATAGGACTGTATTTTAACCCTTGTATTGTTGTATCATTTTAAACAGCAGTTAAAAGCCCAAAGTAAAAAGAAAAAACTAACGTTTATGATGATTTGAAAAAAATATTAGTCTTATTTCAGTAGTGATATTTATCTAAATGACCAGCACAGACATGTACCAACAATATCACAATCATTTTATTATAGACTTATATATATATATATTATATATAGACAAATGTACAACATCATTTTGTATAATTGGCTCATAAATGAAATAGAACATGAAAAAGTGAATGATTTAGATAGATAGATAGATAGATAGATATCTAGGTTAGTAGTAGTAGTAGATTAGTCGATACGATTTGTAAAAACCTGCTTTACAGTAGATAATAAAACAAACAGACATCTTTTTATTTGTAGTTTGGTTTAATCTTCATAAACATTTCATACTGACACCTTGATGACTCTGATCCTGGTTGTTCTCACTCTCTTCATCAGGGCCTGTTTGATATCTTGAGTCTTAAAACAGTAAATGATCGGGTTAACCGCAGCAGGAAGAAGGCTGTAGAGCAAAATCAGAAAGATACGAACACCTAAGCTGAAGGAAAACCCAACCGTGTTGGCAACGTATACGAAACATCTGGGAAGGTAAAAAAGACAGGTGATGAATATCTGCGGCGTACACGTGGACATGGTTTTCCTGCGGCCGGCGCTGTTGGACATTTTCAGAATGACCACGAGGATGGACACGTAGGAAAACAGGATGAATGCAAGAGGAAGCAGAAGACAGAACATGGCCATGCAAAGAGTAGTGATCTGTACACTTTTAACATTCTCACCACAGGCCTGGCTGGTTATGGAGATGTGGTCACAGTAACACTGAGCAATCACGTTGGACTTACAGTAATCCAAAGGCAAGGCTTGAAGGATGATCGTGATGAGCAAAGACAGAGGTATGAACCAGGCGAAGCCGCAGAGCACAGAGATGATCTGGTTAGTGATGAGGACAGGGTAACGCAGAGGGACACATATGGCAACAAACCGGTCCAGAGCCATCACCAACAGGATGAAGGACGTCACCGACCCCAAGTAATGGACAAAAAACATCTGCAGGAAACAGCCGTAAAAAGATATGAGGCTGTCGTCAAACCAGTATTTAGATATGATCTTTGGAAGAGTCACGGTGCCAAAGGTTAGATCGTTCAGTGCCAGGTGACAGAAGACCAGGTAGGTTGGCTTCTGGAGAGACCTCTCACTTAACACAAAGACTAAAATGAAAATATTCCCTATCGCAATTGACATGTAGACGAAAAAGAGCAGAGCTGATACAGGACCGTGGAACTGAGGAGAAAGTCCAGGGAATCCCAGGATGAAGAAGCTCCTCATTCTGGTCGCATTGATGGTAATCATCATTAACTAAATTACAAAGGAGAAAAAAAAGGTGTCTGTAAAATAAAAAATAAAAAAAGTTACATTCATCAGATGAATATAGAGGTATTTTACACAGTATTGTATGTATTTAATTTAATATGTCAATATTTAGTTACATCACGAATCCTTGTATTTAGAGAAAACTGTTATATGATAATTATGAAGGACATGACGTAGTAGTAGAAGTACAACATACATATACAAATGTTACTATATTATTGCAAATTCTTTTGCGAGAAATTTTAAAGAATCAGGTTTTTGCAGATCTACAGTAACAAGTGAAAAAAGACACCAGATGTGAAAGCTCACTCAGATTAGTCTTCAGTCCGACCTTACAGAACGCTCACCTGATCCTCAGAGTGGGCCCTTGTCTCTGTGTGATGTCTGATATCTGCGCTGACCATTATTATTCCTGACAGATCGTGTTCTCTGGAGTATTTCAGCAACTCCCACTTTGTCAAGAAACTTTGTTTGCTTGGAAAACGAAATGGAAACTTTTTTTCAGAAAGTGAAACGGTTTGTTTATATTTGCTGTAAAAATGTATTGATATTTTTGGCAACTCTTCTTTTCTGGACAAGACACTGATGAAAGTGACTGTTGGGCTGTTGTCTGGTCTTTCATTTTAGGATTAAGGAAGTGATCAGTTTTTGTCCGGTGAAAAAGAATCTATTCTATATGAAAATAAAACATGCTTGGTTCACTCTACACTTTGTCAGTTCTGTCTGTCTCCCTCTTCCCTTGTCTGTTTCTCTCGGTTAATCACTGTTATCTCTCTCACCTGTGTCCTGTTCGTTCATTAGTCTCACTGGTGTCACCTGGTGCCCAGGGTATAATACCGCCCTCACTCGGCCTTGTTCTGGTCACTGTCCAGCGCTGGTCAGTGGTCGAGCTGTGTTGTTCAGCGTTTGTGTTGATAATCGTTTGTGTTGTTCGTCTCAGTCTTTGCTCATGCTGTGTTCTGTGTTCCTGATTGTTACTGCTTGTTTCAGTGTTTCTCTTTGGTTTATGGTTCTGGTTTTCATGGTTCATGGTTCATGGTTCCTACCTGGTCCTGGAATGCTGTAAGTTCATGTGCTTATGTTTGAACTTGTAAATAAACTTCTTGATCTGATCGTGTCTATGAGTGCTGCACTTTGGTTAAAGACTACTGTTGGTGTAGTTAAATTAGATGCTTTCCATTCATGGTTTATTTAGTCAGTTTTCAGTTGAAAATCCTTGATTACTCTGGAGTTGTTTTTAATCTTAAAGACAACCAACATCCACTTGGTGACTTACTGGTCAAGGCCCAGGTGTCTGTGACATGTCGCCAAACTAATGTTTTAGGTGAGAGAGAAAGTGTTTTTAAAACTTCCTTAATTTTTCAAAGTAGACTTTTAATTTTAATATAATATATTCTTGTTAAAATAAAATGTATTTTACTTGGTTTTATTTCAATTTACAATTTATTTTCAACACCAAATACATACACTGTACTGTATCAGTTTCTTTAATGCACATATATAAATAATTATATTACTGAAAAAAGTAGAAACTGCTTATCTTTATATTAACTGACATTGTGACATTTACCATAAAATGTTTGTTATAAATTAATGCTTAAAATAATTAATACATTTTAGCACTTAAAATGAGTTGTCTTTACAAGTGTGACCTGTGTTTTTCGTATACATACAACTGTATAAAAAATTATATTTTAATGAAAAGTTTCAAGTTAAAAAAAAAATCAAGCACATTTGTAGTCACACAAATATTAACTTATGTTTTACTCACTGGGAACTAAAGATGAAGCTTTAAACAACAGCAAAGCACAAAAAAAATGAAATATTAAGACAATAATTCATATAAAGATGCTTTTACAGTTAGTTTTACACCAAAGACTGACACTAAGAGGCTGAACTAAAGTTTGTAGAACTCGGAATAATATCAGATTGACAGTTCAGTTTGGTGTCCACATTAAAAAGTGATATGTTTTGCTTTGGAAAAAATATTTTTCATTTGGTGTACACTTATTTTTAAAATCCATGTGTGTTTTTATTGGATGATATCAGACTGGTAGCCTGAAAAACAAACATTTGTCAAACTTTTCAGTGAAATGACAGTTTTACCACAATTCCAATTCTACTTTTACTCCACCTCCGTAGCAACATCTGCTTGATATCCTGTGTCTTGAAACAATATATGAGAGGATTGACCGCTGCAGGCAGAAGACTGTACAGCAGTATTAGTAAAATACGAACGTCTAGGCTGAAGGAAAATCCCACAGTGTTCGACACGTAGACAAAGCACCTGGGAAGGTAGAAAAGACAGGTGATGAATATTTGTGGCGTGCACGTGGACAGGGTTCTTTTGCGGCCGGCGGCGTTTGTCATTTTTAGAATAACTACAAGAATTGAAATGTAAGAAAACAGGATGAAAGCTAATGGAAGGAGCAGACAAAACATGGCTACACACAGAGAGGAGACGGCGACTACCCGCACCTCCTCGCCACAGGCCTGGCTGGTTATGGAGATGTGGTCACAGTAACACTGAGCAATGACATTTGATTTACAGAACGGTAAAGTCAGAACGTGAAGCACCACGAACACCATCAGGGGCAGAGGTATGAACCAGGCGAAGCCGCAGAGCACAGAGATGATCTGGTTAGTGATGAGGACAGGGTAACGCAGAGGGACACATATGGCAACAAACCGGTCCAGAGCCATCACCAACAGGATGAAGGACGTCACCGACCCCAAGTAATGGACAAAAAACATCTGCGTGAAACAGCCGTAAAATGTTACCACGCTGTCGTCCAACCAGTATTTAGATATGATCTTTGGAAGAGTCACGGTGCCAAAGGTTAGATCGTTCAGTGCCAGGTGACAGAAGACCAGGTAGGTTGGCTTCTGGAGAGACCTCTCACTTAACACAAAGACTAAAATGAAAATATTCCCTATCGCAATTGACATGTAGACGAAAAAGAGCAGAGCTGATACAGGACCGTGGAACTGAGGAGAAAGTCCAGGGAATCCCAGGATGAAGAAGCTCCTCATTCTGGTTACATTGGCAAAAGACATGATTATCTAAGAGTTGGACATTAAACAAGATGCAACAGACATGGAATTACAAAAAAAGAAGAGAATAAGCACACTTTAACACATTCAACAATAAAAACACCAGAGTAGAAAAAGACACAGGATATAAAGTAGATCAAAAATAATCATGTAAAGAGTTTAAAAATGAAATTTTCAGGTGGAAACACAGAGCAGTGAAGCTTTTCCACCTGAACTCTGGACTAAGTCTGTCATTCAGCTTAGCTTTATAAGAGGTCTGATCCACAGAACTCTCACAGGATCAAAACTTAAGTCTTGAGTTTGTTTGTTTTTTTAGTTTCAGGAAGTGAGTTGGAACACAGTAAGGGAGAGGGTATGCTCTGATAACCATCAACAGTGCACTGAGGGTGGCCAGAGTCCAGGCAGTAACACTGAGGATGAGAACAGTGGAGGGTTTGAAGAAGTGAGGATGTCGGAGCGGATGGCAGATGGCCAGGTACCGATCCAAGGCCATGAGGAAAAGTATAAAGGAGTTCACCGACCCCAGGTAGTGAACAAAGAACATCTGAACAAAGCAGCCGTCAAAGGAAATGGTTCCTGAGTGAAACCAGTACTTACTGATGATCTTGGGCAAAGTGGTGGTGCTAAAGAGAATGTCACACGCACTGAGGTTCAGAATGATATAATACATGGGCTTGTGGAGGCGACGGTCGCTCAAGAACAAGAAAAATGACGTTGCATTGCCGATTAACGTTAAAGAATAGACCAGGAAGAGAACAAAGGAGACGAGACCGTAGTACTCCAGATGAAGTCCAGGGAAACCTGTTAGGAAGAATTCAGTCACTGTGGAGCTGTGGTTTCCCTCCGCCATGATGGAACCAAACAGAAATTCTTTAAACACAGTCAGGAGGTTAAGGAAGGAAATACTTCACACCAAATCATTTCACCTACATTTTGTATTTTGCACAATAGCTTCTAATATTTTGTCTTAACCTGTGCTGTTCAAACCGTAAAACTGTTGCTGCTGCAGTTGTAACATAAATCTAAAATGATGAACAAAACCAGTCTCACATATACAGTACAACAACACGTCTTCACATTATCACAGCCATGTTCACCGATTTAAAACGTCTGAGTCCATGAGTCTGCTGATGCTGGAATATAACTCATCCCTTTATTAAATCCTCAGTGGATTAGTGTCAATCAACATCACTGTGTAACATAGTTTTTTATAGTAACGGTTTTTACTATCAATACACAGAGGTAATATATATCAAAATAAATATATTATCAGGCTACTCACAACGTTCTCCCAAAAAATATAGGATTAAAAAAAAACTTTTCAATTCTAAATATATATATTTGGACATATATAAAAACAATTCCAAATTATTTATTTATATAGTTTATTTTTTAATGTGCTTTTGTGTTTTTTTCTCAATGTAAACATACTATTCTTGTCCATAGGAAAACAGTCAATGTCCTGAACAGAGACATGCGTCCTGTAATTGCTAATAGAAAGACTATTTAATTAACCAGGTTAATGGCTCATAAATCCCAAATGGATAAATAACTGTATTCTGACACAACACAATACCCCAGAGGAATGAGTGTGACGTCCCCAGAGTTTAATACTGGCTTCTCAGCCCAGAGCAGGAGCTCCACACCAGGGTGATGAACCAGGAGACCTGTCACTGGACTCACATAGCAAGTAAGGAAGTAAAAGGACGTAAACAACAAATAATAAACTTAGACAAATAAAGTCAAGAAAAATTCTGGCCCGCCGACAAATAAGTTTGAATTACAATCAGAAATATTTTATTGATCGCTGTGATAAAATTAAATTGAAATTTTTGAAAAAATTAGTCAACTCAAGAATCATATCATATGAGTGTATCAACAACAACAGTCTAAGTTCAGGTAAATATGAAACTAAAATGAAAAAATATATATATTAAATCAAATTATGACATATACTCTCAAGAAATAGTCAACAAGCCTATTAAAAAAATAAAAAAGTACATTCACAGAAAAATATTTCATCAATCTGGATCAGTGGTTTGTATCTCTGCTATAAATAAACACAAAAATATACACTGGAGATCAACACTGGAGATCAACCACACAGTCAGTCAGTTTTTTTTAATTATATATAGTATTTTTATTATATATTAAGGAGCAGACTTTTCATTGACCCACTGTTTGTTCAGTTGGTAACAGCTGAAATTTGAAACTTTTGTGAAATGGAGTTTCTGACCAACAGCCGGTGGAAACTTTCTCTCACATCTTTGGCTCTTAAATAATAGATAAGTGGATTGACCATCGGGGGGGAGAGGCTGTACAACATTATTAATCACTATTCGCAAATCTGGGCTGAATTGGATACCAGAGACATTTGCTAAATAAACAAAACATCTGGGTAGGTAGTAGAGAGAGATGATGATCAGCTGGGCGCTGCAGGTGGACAGAGTTTTCAGGCGACCCTGTAAGTCTGCGATTTTCAGCACAGCTGTGATTATGGAGATGTATGAGAAGACGATGAAGGCCAAAGGTCCGAGAAGCACAATCATGGCAGCGATGAACGCAGGGACGGCATACGGTGTCCTGTCAGTGCACGCCAGCAGGGTTATACCAACATGATCACAGTAGCAGTGATTGATTACATTTGACGCACAGTAAGGGAGAGGGTATGCTCTGATAACCATCAACAGTGCACTGAGGGTGGCCAGAGTCCAGGCAGTAACACTGAGGATGAGAACAGTGGAGGGTTTGAAGAAGTGAGGATGTCGGAGCGGATGGCAGATGGCCAGGTACCGATCCAAGGCCATGAGGAAAAGTATAAAGGAGTTCACCGACCCCAGGTAGTGAACAAAGAACATCTGAACAAAGCAGCCGTCAAAGGAAATGGTTCCTGAGTGAAACCAGTACTTACTGATGATCTTGGGCAAAGTGGTGGTGCTAAAGAGAATGTCACACGCACTGAGGTTCAGAATGATATAATACATGGGCTTGTGGAGGCGACGGTCGCTCAAGAACAAGAAAAATGACGTTGCATTGCCGATTAACGTTAAAGAATAGACCAGGAAGAGAACAAAGGAGACGAGACCGTAGTACTCCAGATGAAGTCCAGGGAAACCTGTTAGGAAGAATTCAGTCACTGTGGAGCTGTGGTTTCCCTCCGCCATGATGGAACCAAACAGAAATTCTTTAAACACAGTCAGGAGGTTAAGGAAGGAAATACTTCACACCAAATCATTTCACCTACATTTTGTATTTTGCACAATAGCTTCTAATATTTTGTCTTAACCTGTGCTGTTCAAACCGTAAAACTGTTGCTGCTGCAGTTGTAACATAAATCTAAAATGATGAACAAAACCAGTCTCACATATACAGTACAACAACACGTCTTCACATTATCACAGCCATGTTCACCGATTTAAAACGTCTGAGTCCATGAGTCTGCTGATGCTGGAATATAACCCATCCCTTTATTAAATCCTCAGTGGATTAGTGTCAATCAACATCACTGTGTAACATAGTTTTTTATAGTAACGGTTTTTACTATCAATACACAGAGGTAATATATATCAAAATAAATATATTATCAGGCTACTCACAACGTTCTCCCAAAAAATATAGGATTAAAAAAAAACTTTTCAATTCTAAATATATATATTTGGACATATATAAAAACAATTCCAAATTATTTATTTATATAGTTTATTTTTTAATGTGCTTTTGTGTTTTTTTCTCAATGTAAACATACTATTCTTGTCCATAGGAAAACAGTCAATGTCCTGAACAGAGACATGTGTCCTGTAATTGCTAATAGAAAGACTATTTAATTAACCAGGTTAATGGCTCATAAATCCCAAATGGATAAATAACTGTATTCTGACACAACACAATACCCCAGAGGAATGAGTGTGACGTCCCCAGAGTTTAATACTGGCTTCTCAGCCCAGAGCAGGAGCTCCACACCAGGGTGATGAACCAGGAGACCTCCAAGAACTGATGGTTATTAATTAAAAAACCACTAGAGAGCGCTCACGTACCACTGCTGGTACATGAACCACAGTTTGAGAACCACTGCTCTAGAGGAAGGAAGGAAGGAAGGAACAAAATGATGTTGAATTGTATGAGGCCTTCAGGCACCCCTGATGTTAGTGACAGACGATCTCAGAGAACTGCTCTGTTGGTTTTGGTGTGTGATTCTGTTGTTCTGCTGTGTACTAAGTACCTGAACTTGTCGACCAAGTACTTACAGTTACTGTTACTGTTAGTTAAACTGTTAGTTCTGTTAGTTCAACTTCTAAAAACCTCTTTAACTCACCGACCCACTCCTTACAGGGATGTCCGATATTACCTTTTTGCCAACATTACAGTGTGATACCAAAACCTCCTCAAACTTTTTGCTGTTGTTCACTGTGCACTCGTACAGAGTGACATGTTTGTTTGAGTTTGAATCATCCACTAAAACAAACCAGTTCCAGGAGGACGCTGGATTGAGTCTCCTGCCGATGGTGGTCCCAGGTGTGTGATTAAGGTACGACTGTGCACGTCACAGCTCCTCGGTGAATACTCATCTCAACTGTATTGCAGTGACGCAGTGGAAAAAAACACGTTGTTGTTGATGTAGAAGTTTCTGACCTGTTTGACTGTTAGAACTTTGCTGCAGGTCAGTTGTCTGTTGTACACACTGGAAGTTGTGTTGTGATGAGAGTACAGTTGGATCAACTAAAGTAAAGGAAGTGTACGAAGTAGTAGAGTTGAAGGATGAGGTAAGGATTCACTACTACAAATAAAGCAGCGGTCAAGCGACAACTCCTGTTCGTTGGGTTAAGGCGTTAATTCAAGAAACTGACATGAAGGTCGTTAAGAGATTAATTTAATTTAAATAAATAAATAAATAAACTTAATAATATCTAAACTAATCCATTATTCATCCTAAAATTAATAAATATATAATATAATATAATAATATATAATATATATAATAAATATATCTACGTATATATTTTTACTTCATTTTATATATATATACATTTATAAGAAATAAATTGTATAATATATTAGATAAATAAGATACGTTATCTTCTTTCCTATTAGTTATAGGAATATATATATGTATATATATATATTTCTTATCTTCATATTTTGTTCTAGTATCAATACTTTTTACTACTACACCTCAAAAACTTTTACGTTGTCCTTTCTCTAGATTATCCTTTAGATCAAAGTTTATTATTTTGGACACTAAAAATGACTAAATATTAAAGCAGTAAAAAACAGATCAGTTTGCTGTCACCACACTTTGTATCAATTCTAATTAATAACCATCAGTTCTTGGAGGTCTCCTGGTTCATCACCCTGGTGTGGAGCTCCTGCTCTGGGCTGAGAAGCCAGTATTAAACTCTGGGGACGTCACACTCATTCCTCTGGGGTATTGTGTTGTGTCAGAATACAGTTATTTATCCATTTGGGATTTATGAGCCATTAACCTGGTTAATTAAATAGTCTTTCTATTAGCAATTACAGGACGCATGTCTCTGTTCAGGACATTGACTGTTTTCCTATGGACAAGAATAGTATGTTTACGTTATCAGATATTTACATAATACATTTTAATGTTTAAATCAGTGGTGTCAAACTTCAGGTCAGAGGGTCGATCACAACCCCATTTTGATTTCACCGTATATCACTGAGAGGAAACACTGGTACTGTAGAAACCACCCTGAATATTAGCTACATGTTCAAACTGGGGAATGCGATATTTTTCAATTTTTGAGTACAGTATACTTTTTTATTTTACATTGAGCATAGAGCTCCTTTTTTATTCAGCTATTGTTCGTGCTGAACAGGCAGATAAAAGACACTTTTCTATTTTTATTTTATGAATTTATAGTTCTGGTTCAACATAATTTACTCATAACTAAATAATGTTCAGTTCCACCAGAGCCAGGAAACTCAGTTCTGAACACAGATCACTGTCGTCTGCATAGAGGATGATTATGTGAAAATGGAATATCGATCCAAGCCAAGCCATGGTCAAGGATTTGCAGCGCAGCAGGGCCAAAGGTCAGGAAAAATGACAGAGTGAACTGTTAGCACAGTCCACTTTTCAAAACAGGACCTAAATGAAAACATACACTACTTCTTATCTATAAGACTTAATTTTTCAAATGAAATTAAATGAAGAGTAGTATCCATTCATGTATTTATCATTTCAGTCACACAGCAACAGTTATATTGAAAACTAAGAATATTTGTTTTGATGAATTACCTAATTTCTTCAACCATGTAGTATAATTACATCTGCACATAATGCTAGAACATAGCATTCAAATGACAACTCTCTGCTTTCACCTGCTGGATCATATTTGTTATGCATGTTGTCGTCGGAATGTACATTACGAAAATATGACGAAAATATAAAAAGTAAAATACTTGTGATTCAACTTTACGATTTATTTTCCCTTTAAATATTTTTTCTTTTTTTATTTAATATAAGATTAATAACACAGGGATTTTTGTGTGTAAATACTTGGATGGAAATGTTTCATGGGGCATTGATGAATTATGTTACAATATTATATATTATTATATTAAAAAGTATATCAGGATTTTTATGCTTACAAACATTCAATATGTTGCCTGGAAGATTTACTTTATTTTTACTTTAAATGGCGTTAAATATCAAGGACGACATCTGGTGGAGCACAAGGAAAATAGCAGTCAGACATAGAAAGAAAAAGCACATACTAACTCAACCAGCGTGACAAAAGTGAATATTTAAATTAACCATTGCGTCGATAAATATTGCAAAAAAAAAAAGAAAGAAAGAAAGAAAAGAAAAGAAAAGAAAACGACCAATAAAATATTTGTTTACTTGCAAAATATGGGATAGGCCCATGTGAGGAGACAATTCACCAAATAGTAACCTGAGGGTCAACCTACATTTTTATGGGGGTTTCTATTGTTTTGTCTTTTTTAGGAAACTCTCTAGTTTCCATCAGGAGTCGATTGCGATGCAAAATAATTTTATCACAGCGATCAATAAAATATTTCTGATTGTAATTCAAACTTATTTGTCGGCGGGCCAGAATTTTTCTTGACTTTATTTGTCTAAGTTTATTATTTGTTGTTTACGTCCTTTTACTTCATTACTTGCTATGTGAGTCCAGTGGCAGACCGTTTGGCTGGGCCAGATTCAGCCCGCGGGCCAGCAGTTTGTGATCACTGTCCTAAAGTAAAAAAACTCCAAAAAAGAAACACACAAATTATTTTATGATCTTTTGGAGTTTGACTTACATGCAACGTAGAAGGACTGTAACAGGGAAGTTAAAATATTATATATAAATATTAATACTGCAGAGAACACAGTGGTAGTACATCCAGTAGTATTCATTACCTCCAAAGTAAAAGTTGTGACAATAAAAAAAATCAATAAAAATAATTTATTAAAATGATTTGCTGAGGCCTAGCAGAGAGTATTACTATCATTAGTAATATTCTATATTATTAGTAATATTCTAGATACTAGTGTAAGACCAAGTAAAGTATTGGAGCAGGCACGTTCTTCAAAGTATTTTCGCGACAGTTCACTCTTTCTCGTCTGTTTCTCAGTTTGACAAGTGTGTCACTGCTGCAAATGCTTCAAAACAAACACACTGTTTACTGTGTCACCTGAACCCTGGGGGGTTCATTACACACTCCTGAGGAGACGCCACGTCTTTCCTGACAACACCTCACAAACAAAGAAGTCATTAAGCTAATGAGCAGAGCCGAAGACAGAAACATTATCGTGATGTTTTTGGAAAATATGACACAGGAGAATGATGACATCCTCTCACGCCCATCACTGAAAACAAAGTAAAGAAACTTCTGCAGAAATATTTGATTGAGTTTATACAAAATATAAAACATTTCACTTTTATTGATTCAGTTTTTTTTTCATTAAGGAAACAAATAGTAGTAAATGTATCTGCATTGATCCAGAGCTCAGCAGTTATACAGATGTCTACACCAAACTAAATGTACAAACAACCTCAGTAATATACAATGTATAGACAATGGAAAACTACAAATATCAAACAAAGGTTTTTGGAGTAGCACAGTTTCCCAGTCGTTGTCTTTCTTTTCCTGTCTGGTTTTTAACAGCGAGTACATGTTTGTGAGCAGCCTTTGGGTAGTACTAATACTTCAGCACAACTGTCTAGACTAAAACTCTTTTACTACATACAATCAGATCTATTTGTATTTTTATGTCGTTTGTGAATTTTAGAATTCACTATTCTATTTTGAATATTGATTGTTTTGAATCCTTTTTGAATCTATTTAGGATTAATTGTCAAAAGAAAATAAACCATTGACATGACTATTTTTTAATGAATTGGAACAAAACATTATGATGAATAAGATATATGATATGGTTTGTGTTTTTTAAGGGACACAATTAAAAATATTTATATTAATAATAATAATAACATTATTATTATTATTATTATTATTATTATTATTATTTTATTTTTTTATTATTTTTATGGGTGGAGAATAAAGGCTGCATTAAATAGCCTCTGTTATTATTACAACATTCCACTTTATATTCAGGTGCAGAACTTATTTTTTGACAATTACTGAAACCAAAAAACAAACAATTCAATAATTAATGTCACCTGTGATCATTATTTCAACCAGTCTTTTAGACCACAGTGTTCTCCATAAGGTACAGGGGAGTGAGGCAGGAACGACTGGATTGGAGAAAAGTGCAAAATAAATGATTAAGGAGTATTTTTTATAAAGGTTTTGTTTATTAGAAATTAGAAATCCCAAATTATTACCATAACAAAAGATTAATGTCATCATTTGGCCACAGGGTTTAATATATTTTCCAATATACACCAGGATATAAGCATTTGTTTAAATTCAACATCTATCTATCTTCTTGTTAAAATAAAATAAAATACAGGACAGGAAGAAGAACAAATGACCAGACCGTTTACTGTGTGCCTTTAGTGCTCTCTGGTGGGCTTAATTTCGTTTTGAATAAATTTCACTATGCTTAAAACTATCATTACAGACCTTTATTTTTATTTTATTTAATCATTGTAAAACCGGAATCACAACAGTTTTTTATTGGTTTTATTATTATTTTTCATTCATCCTTCAAACCTTGAACAGTTTCCAAAAGAAAGGGACACAACATGTGTGTTTCAATACTTACATATTTCTAACATATTTCTTAGAGGTTGTTTCTCTGCTTTTTGCAGTGATGTTTCCATATTTGGTACTTACATTCTCACAACTTTTTGTTTTATTGTTTCACACCTGCAGTTAAAAACAGTAAGTGAACAGTTTCTGGTGGACAGGCTTCAGTAGAAGTTCAGTGTTGCAACAACAGATACAGTGATGTTAAAGTAAGGCAACAGTACTCGTTGATATACTGCGTTGGTAAGTTTGACTGCAGTGCAGATAATAAGCCTCAACCTGAGTTGATTTATGAGCAGGAAGTGATGTCAATGATCGTTTTCATACTTACAGCGTCACAATATAACTGTAAACATGTACATGTTGTTCTATTACCCACACACCTACTACACATTTATCCATATATTTATAAAAGCTCTCTGCTCATTGGCTCAGACTAAAACTATTTACACGGCAGAACTTTTCTCCTCACAAACTGCAGCAGTTTCTCCCTGATTTCTTTGGTTTTCAGTCCATAGATGATTGGGTTCAGAGTTGGTGGAAAAATTAACGTGGACAAACCGAACAATTTCCTCAGCTGAGGTGAAATGTCCCTTATTCTGTACGATATGATGGTGAAAAGGCCCAGACACTCCAGCATGAGGAATACGATCAGGTGAGTGGCGCAGGTCTGCATGGCTTTGGCTTTGGTGTCTGAACGTTTGGACCTGAAGCAGGTGACGAGGATCCAAAGATACGTGTACAGGATCATCCCAATGGCGATTGTTTGTGAAACGGCACTGATGAGGAGTCCGTAGATGTTGTTGACGGCCGTGCTGGCACAGACCAGCGACAGCAGAGAGGGATTGTCACAGTAGACCTGTGTGATCCTCGAACGACAGCGAGGTAAGCGCAGGAGCAGGATGAAGAGTACGCCTATTAGGATCAAACTGGACAGCCACACGGCCGTGACTGTTCTCATGATGTAAGCAGGGGTCATGACGGTGTTGTACTTTAGGGGATGGCAAATGGCTATGTATCTATCATAGGCCATAGCAGTGAGAATAACTGTGGCCCCCGCTGCGTAAATGTGGATGAAGAAAGCCTGGGTGACACAGGCGGGGAACTCTATCATCCTGCTGTTGGCCAGGATTTCTCTCAGCATCTGTGGGAAAAGGGCCGAGGAACCAATGAGGTCGTTGATGGGCAGGTTGAGCAGCAGCAGGTGCATGGGCTGGTGCAGAGATTTGTTCAGCACAATGGTGATGATCAGAGTGAGGTTACAGAACAGTATGACCATGTAGCTGAGAGCGGCGAACAGGAAGACCACGGCCACGTTCTCTGGCATGAAGTCGAATTGAACCTCCACATAAGAGGAGACGTTGTACAAGTGGTCCATCTTGGGACGCTGGGGGAGAGACACAAGGACCAGGTCGACAAAAAAGATGAGTTTTCATGGTCACGAGACTAAACAAGAACAAATGTCAAAATCACATAAACTGTTGTTAAATGAAGCATTTCCCCCCCTGATGTTTACAGTTCAAATCTGTACATCACTCATCACTGCTGTGAATGTTACTGTTAGTCGTTACCTCCTCCTGCGGATGCGGACACACACCAGCAGAGACACAGACCTTTGGCTGTTGTTATGTAGACCT